TTTGATGGGGATTGAGCTAAATGTGTAGTTTTGAGGGTTGTTTTAAGCATTAAATGGGTTAATCATTAGTGTTTAGTGCTGAGAAGAGTGCCTTTTGTATATGTACGTGTACATATGTGTGCACATGTGTTTTATGTACATAGAATAAGGCAATATGACTGTTATTAGATATCATTAAGCTATTATCACCTGAGTTATCACAGATGTCCATTTCTAATGCTGGATACTTTTGCTATTTTGACTCCAATGGCATTTTGGGGAGTGGCATTTTTCTCTTCATAGTCAGAATTTGCTTCCTTTGGTAAAAACTTATTAGATTGATGTGAAATTTTTGTTAGGTGGAACATTCTAGAAGAATTGCTGAGTGTACCTGTGTCAGGAAATAACCATAAAATCCTACATTGCAATATTGTAAAGAAGTATCTGAAGTTTTTAATTACTCATTCTGAATTTCATGAGGTCTTTATCTTAAGAGTAAAATCTATAAAAGATTTGTTCTCATTTTGGCTTAATATGCTGTAAATTGGGCAAGAAACCAACTTTTTTCTTTCTTGTCATCAATATGACCTGAAAGCTAACAAGTACATTTAAAGCAAAATTTCTCTGTTTCATTAGCTTATTGATTATATACACTTGTTGGCATCCGCAGGGCTGTTCTTGGAAAATTTGTTTATTTTAATTTTTTTTTTTTTTCAAGACAGAGTTTCAAGCTGTCACCCTGGGTAGAATGTCATGGCGTCCTAGCTCACAGCAACTTCCAACTCTTGGGCTCAAACTATTCTCTCACCTCAGCTTTTTCATTTTTCTTAGAGACAGAGTCTCACTCTTGCTCAGACTGGTCTTAAACTCCTGAGCTCAAGCAATCCACCCGCGTTGGCCTCCCAGAGTGCTAGGATTATAGGCATGATCCACTATGCCTGGCTGCTTTTGGAAAATTTGGAGCAAAATGCCACAACTATATCTTAGAGTTAAGTAAGTTAATGTTAAATGCTGAGAACTGTGTTGCAGTGGATATAAAATAGGACTCATGGGCCCTGTTCTCTTTAGCTCTGACCTGTTCAACTGAAAACTTTACATGCCTTCCGCCAGCACGAATCTCTGTTCCTCTGAAAATATAATACTCTATTTTGAGAAGGTTTTGTGCTCTTGTGCAACCTAAAATAGAAGAGTGAGCTCAGGAAGCCAGACTTGGAAATCATTTAATCTAAACACTCACCTAACAGATGAAGGAGAATCGAAGTCCTGAACTTGGGTACACACTGCTTCCACCAACTGCCCATGAGATTTATTTCATTAATCACAGCATGTTTCACAGCTTTGAGAAGCTTGAATATAATTAAATACTCAACAAAGATGTTTCAAGTTCCTCCTGTTTATGCCAGCCATTGTGCTGGGCTCCATGGGTCCAGCAGTGGACAAAGGAAATTAGGTCCCTGCACTGATGGAACTTACATTAACCAAGAATATTGGGAACTGAAGGGTGGGGTGGGAAAGAGAAAATCCATGCAAATCCAATCCCATTTGAGATAGTTTATCTATGAAAATTGAATTTCTATTAATACCTAGAAGAGAATTTCTTTCCCCTATAGAATGAAAATATTTCTACCTTGGACCTATCTAACACATTTTTTTATTACAAATTGCAATAAATAAGAGTTTCAGATTTCCCTCTATTAGAAAGTAGTTGTTACTTCCACAAGTCACATAACTTCTCTCATGTGACTTCTCATCTGAAAACTGAGAGGCTGGACCACAGGATTACTTGTGTTTCCTTCTACTTTTGAAACAGTTCATCAAACAGAGCCTCATGGGTGTGATAAGTTCAGTTCTTTTCAGCCCCTTGTCTTCCCACGAAGGGATCTTCTGTATCTAAAAATCCCCCTGGTTCTTGTGGTGTAGCTTGTGACACTGTGATAGGGACCAAGAGTCAGATGAGTTTCCTGGAACACTGCAACCTTCCGGCTATTTCTTCCCTTTTAGAACCTTAGCGCCCAAAACTGACAAGACTGTCAGTCACTTACAGGAATAAACAATGCTGTTAAAATTATAAGCTTCTTTATCCTTCCCCATCACATTTTAGCCCAGTTCTTAGAAAAGGAAAGCATACTAAGGCTTTGTTGTGTTTTTTAATGGAGCACTCTATTTGCCATGCCGAGGATAGGATATTTATTGAGTTTCTATGATTTTAGAATTAGAAATTTCACATAATAATAAAAAGAGGAGGTCAACAAGATACAAAAGAAATATATATACACATGTATAGATAATAATTATATACTACATAAAAGATATCCATATATATGAGAGAGAGGGGTGACAGCAATAATACCAAAAATGAGAAAATGCATTTTCAGAAAGAGCTCAGAGGTGAGCTATCTCATACCTAGTGTAATATGTCAAACAGCCTATTGGAGTCACTAAATAAAGGCTTTCCACGTGCCAAGCTTTGCCTCAATATCAGGCAAAATCAGTGTTAAATGTCACAAAGTTTTCAGTACCCTTCACTTATAGAAGAAAGGAGCGTGGGCAGCAGTGGAACTGATTCATGGTAGCCTGGATTCTTCACTCTGGATTAAACCCAGAGTTGGAGGCAGGCCCGGTATTGTCCCAGGCAGGTCTATGCACAAACAACAGAAAACAAATTGTCTGACAATGAGGAAGACTTGTAGACATGTAGTTGTAAAGTGGATAAAGTCTCATTCTCCAACTAGGAAGTAACCCTCCATGCGGTCGTCCTCTGACTTATCTCTTTGTATCTACTTTCTTCCTAGGCTATAAGGTTAAATGCAAATTTATCTTCATCTATAAAGTCTTCTTTGACTCCTGCAGTCCATGAAGATAACTGTTTTGTTTGAAAAAACAGTGATTTGATTCATTTATCAATCAATCATGTTCTATCTTATAAAATTATATTGTATTTTTTGCGTCTTGATATATTTTTAAGTGCATTTATACCTTAAAATTAAACCATAAATTACATTTTTTGAATTTTCATCTTTGGGCCTAACACTATGTATTGAAGATGTTTAACTAGATTTGCTCAAGACAGCCTTTGTTGAGACTGTCACACAAAATTTTGCTAGAAAACATAATTAATGTTAAGCAAAAAATTAAGTGTGCTGATGTATCCAATTGACTCCATTGTTTTCATTTTCCAGAAACCCACAGTATCCTTTGGCGTTAACTCTATTGAATATTTATGCAGCCAGTACCTTTGATTTCACTCCCCTCACTTCAACTATTAATGCTTGTGCCTAGGGAAGAATGTGACTTTAGTTATCTATATCCTAGAACAAATTTAAACACTTTCTTTTTCTGAGAGGATTAATAATTGTATGCGTTTCTACTAGTGAAGTGACAGACATTAGTGCTCTCCAGAACAGTTTCTTGTGTGCAGTTTTGTGAGGAAAGAGAGAAGGCAGAGTGATGGTGACGGACCTTAAAAGGGTGGGGAGATTCCTACTACCTTGACAGTAGTTTCCTCTAACAACCCATTCAGCTCAAAGACTAGGAGCCACAACACCTTCAATTATAAAGACCCATCCACACTCAGTGCCAGTCACCTTCAGGCAGCCACCCCTTGTAGGTATTTTCCAAGGAGAATTTCACTTCAATAGTCAAGACATCTGTATCCTTTTATTAAGGAACACTGGTCTTGACAGCTGCTATACACCTCTTTCTGAGCAATAATTATGCTTTGTGTAGAGACAGACAGAATATTTATGGTCAGAAACATCTATCCTAGGAGTCCTACTAGGAAAAAAAACATGTTGTAGGGTAGGAAGGCTTTAGACTTTAGAACAAAAGGATAAATTGGCAGATCTCAAAACATCCTACTTCAAAAAGCATACATTAATGAAAGAAACATACATTCATAATGAATTTAGTAGTCATTGAAAGCAGAATAATTCAAATTTAAGAAAGTCCTAATGTAAAAAAATGGTATGTCTTCCAAATGGTACAAGAATCCTGAATTATTTGATAAGTACCTCATTCTCTACATTGTTCTATACCCAAAGACATAAAGTATTTTATTTCCGTTTTAGCCACTTACTAAAGGTATGAAAAAACTTTTGTTATAAATTTATGTACACAGGCATCAGGTACCTAATGTTCTCACCTGTAAAATATTATTAGAATTATCTAGTGTTTTTCGGGTATACTCATGGAATAAGATGTCGTTCAAATTTAACTTAAATTACCCCATAACTCTTGTTTTTTGGATCTTCAGGAAGATTCCTCTTTCTCACACAATAATAACAGAAACTTTTGCATTCTAGAAATTCTTCATAGGCCTTTCTCTGCATAGGATATGACAAATCCATGTCTATAACTCATGAACCAAAAAATTGTGCCAAATAGTAAATTACTTCACTAAACAAAGAGTGGAAACTTCATCAAGTATTCAGTAAAGTGTTGGTGTCATTCAAATGGGTGTCCTGGTATTTTTGGTATTACCAGGGCAGGTGTTTCAATGTTGTCATATCAGTTAAAATTTTTAAATCAAAAGGGTATAATTTGTATGCACATAATATTAAGCTCATCCTATGATTAGATGAAAACATACCTTTCGTCTTTCTTCTTCCACTACCCATGTATAAATGAGGTCTCTCTCCATCATGTCTGCATCATCTTGGACCAGGATATTTTGTTCCCTGTGACTCTCTCCTCTTGCCAACCCCACAGGGCGTTGGTTTTAAAACTAACGTCTCTTACTTTTTACTTGAAGTTCTATTATTGTTGCAGCGATTGCAATTTTGTGCATTTTTCCATATTAAGTGATATGATGTAAAAAGGTTTGTCCTGACTGAAACAACAGATGTGCCCTCACTCCTGACGCTGTTGATCAAGTTAATTTAAAATCTGGCAGACTATGTGTAGATGCATTTGATTACTTTTTTAGCCTTAAAAATTAAATTTATGTTGTATTTTGACAGAAGGCGAAGGAAAATCTACTTTGATCATAACATTCTTGTTTTTTCATTTCCTACACAGGCCCACCAAGACCATCACTATGTCCGATGGGGACTATGATTATCTGATCAAACTCCTGGCCCTCGGAGATTCAGGAGTGGGGAAGACAACGTTTCTTTATAGATACACAGACAACAAATTCAATCCCAAATTCATCACTACAGTAGGAATAGACTTTCGGGAAAAACGTGTGGTGAGTTTTTAACCATAGTGTTAACTTTATTACTTTCCCCCCTTTATAAAAGAAGAACTAAGAAGCTATGTTTATTGCATTGCAAACTGTCTGCCTGTTATCACATGAAATTCATAACCTGTCACTTTAATTCACTTAAGAATATTATTTACTCCTTTTCAACTATAAATAACATTTTGCTAGAAAAATATTGAGTGGCACTATCTCTTGTCTCCCAAAGTATACAAGGCAACTAAAATAAATAATTTATAGATTTACATAGTGTGTTTTCTATGAATTCTTGAGGAATTCTTTCAAAACTTGAATTATGCAGGATCTAAAGACATTAACTCTTTGGTCTGAGTTGAATTCCTCAATAGGACCAAGTGTTCATTTCCCGACGCTTAAGAAAGAGGTTAAAAGTGTAGTTGGCAAACGGCTGGAACATGAGCCTTGTAAGTTCTTGCTGCATTTTTATTTATGTGTAGACTCAGCCATCAATCACTGGCTTACTATGAACAGAATGTGAGACCAACCCATGCTATTTTCCAAGATAAGGGGGTTTAAGTGAGAATCACAACCACTTCCTTCTCCTATGCTAGACGCTAATGACAGAAATAAGGATATTGTGACATGTGAGACGTGGAGCATAGGCACATAAGCTCAGCCAGATTTACTGCCACCCGAGGTATTCTCGATTGCCAAGATAGCTGTGGCTTCCAGTTGATTCACAAATCTACTCATTTCTTGGGAATTGGGAAAGAAAACTTTGGTGGTTGGAAGCAACTGCCTGAGAAGTCAAATGAAGCATGGTTCCCTATGATGTGACTTGCTGTCCCTTATCTGAGAGCCAATACACTGTAGCATAGACACAGCAAACTGGCTTCAGGGCTTTCCCTGCTGCTCCCCTCCTCACTGTCCCCAGTGATCTGGGTATAAGTTCTTGGAAAGTTTTCCCTTTAAGATATTTTCATTAAAATATACTTCAGGGAGCTGATTAAATATTAAAGTTGTTATGCTTTACTTAAAAAGTTAAAAGGTAGCATTTTTTTTTAAAAATTAAACTTGTTCAAAAAGAGCCTTTGATGAAATGGCTAGTGAAGGAAGGCTTGAAATGTTCTGTATTAACTTGCTGAAAAAGTCTATGTATATGTTATGGCTAGGTCATTTGGAAAGTCCATTTCACAGTAAAAGATATTTGTGTGTTGGTAAAGCACTTTGTTCTTCTGAAAAAAAATACCTTCACATATGTTATTTTGCTTAAGTTTGCAGTTTGTATTAGCTCTATAAAGTAGGAAGGGGATATGGGTCTCCATTTGCAGGTAAGCCAGTAAGACTCAAAGAGGTTAAATGAAGAGTTGGTGTTTGAACCTAGAACTTGGGTCCTCAATCTGATGTTTGCTGCCTTTTGAGGAAATGACAGAAGGTGTCTAATTCAAGTTTGCAATATGCCTAACTCGTGTTGAAAATCATACTTGCACTTGACATTTAGAAGTGAGAGTACATGTGATACTACTGGAAAAAATAGAGCAAATATTTATTCTGCACTATGAACTTTGATTATAGCAATCGAGAAGAAACATGCTGCGTGAACCCAGGGAATTTCAGTGTTGTCAACATCCAAAGCAATCTCAACTAATGAACATCATGCCTTTCAGGTTTATAATACTCAAGGACCAAATGGATCTTCGGGGAAGGCGTTTAAGGTGCATCTTCAACTTTGGGACACCGCGGGACAAGAGCGGTAATAGTAAATTACTTTGTCTTTGCTACAGCTTCATAGGGCTTAGATAAACTTGATTTGAAATGTATGCTGTCTGTGAACTTGAAAAACAAATAACACGCAGCTTTTCTCTTGGTTTCAAAATAGACATTTGTATCAAGAAAGGAAAACAAATAATTTGTAGTTAACTAACCATCCTAGCTTTGTATCATGAGTGCAAATTTTGAAAATCAGATTTTTAAAAATCTCTCTGAAGATTCTTGCTAGGCATTGTATTTGTACTTTCTTGTAGGAAAAAAAAAAAACTTCTCCAAAATGTAACTGAATGAAGGTGGGAAATTAACTTTATTATAAAGGCTACTGGAAGAGGGAGTTGAAGAAAGGTTGTATATACCTTTCTCATCTCTTTCTGTTCTTTCAACGTGAAGATTGTGATGTGACCCATGTGTGACTGGCTTTGTCCTCTCAGACTCTGATCCTAGCATCACCCTCTGGCTCGAGTCTTTTATTCTCTTACCACTTTCCCTGCTCTTCCCCTTTCACAAGACCTGGCTCATATTCTGCCAAAGTTCCACTTTGCTCATGAACTCCTGTGGACACCCATTACACTCCCCCTTTAAGTTTCTAAATTAATAATATACCACATTGTAGTAAGATAGATCTCCTGTGTGTATCTCTGTTCAGTGATTCCCCTGTGGTCTTCTCAACCCAACCAAACTATCAACTTTAGAAAGGTAAAGACCTTGACTGGTGTCAGCATTGTCTTTGGTGCGGTGTCCGTGATAAGACCCAGTAAACAGGAGCATTAATGGCTTAGAGTTGGTGATATCATTTCATTGTTTGATGAAAATATATTTCTTTGGGATCCCAAATTTCGATGCATGAAAGATCCCAAGCTAGTAATACTTTTCAGTATTAGATTAAATTAAAAATGGCAGTAGATTGGCAGAGAAGATGTTTAGAAGGCACATACCTCCAAATTCCGCATCGTATGTCTTAGAATGCTTATGCTTGTAAACACTTTTCCTTTTTGAAATGCATCCAAGATGTTCTCACTGTCAGCGCGCGTAAACGCCAGGAGAGGTGCTGGGCCCTCTCGGTTAGCTTTTTTGACTGTGAATTCCATTTACACACACCCTTCAACACTGCTGGTTCCTCTGAAGTCATTCCTCACAGGAGTCTCTGTTCATATGTCAGTTTTGTTGTCACGAAGATGTGTGTTTTAGAGAGCAATTTAATTCATTTTTGAAGAAATAATATGAGAAAATATGGTTCCCATATGTCCTCGCACACGATATGTCAGCCTAGCATGATGGCAGCCTTCTCTTGTCTGTCCCCTTCAGGCAGCTGCTCTAGGAGGAAATAGGAGCACTGTGGGGCAGTCTTGGTAACACATAGGTTATTTATCTCTTGAGAATTTTGCATTCGGTGTACATAAGGTGTAGCTAAGCAACAAGGTAAACAGTGCCTCATACCTCAGCCCTGTGCCTGAGGACATCTGGCAGTATGATCCACCTAAGATAGTGGTTATTGATAAAAGTCACATTATGGAAAGGAGGAAAAAAATAGCCCTTATGTAAACCTGTAGGGTACAGGGCACGGCCTTAGTTACCAGTGAGGGAGAAAGAGTGATAAGGTGTCTCTGGGATCTATTTCTTTGTGTGGTCTTAGTTTTCCCCACCTTCATAACTCACTGCACAGGATGAGATGGGTGGGTAAGGCAGGAAATGAATTACTTGTCCCTCTGAGAAGACTGAGGGTTAACGAGGATGCTGGGCAGAGTGGTCCAGGGTGTGAGCCTGCCCCAGACCAAGTGTGTCCTGCCCGTGTACCCATAGCACTGTGGTTGAAAGCGTGTCCCAAGATCACTGTAATAAGCATGTTCTGAGTGGCTTTGTCAGGTGCCGTGGGCAGCGAGATGAGAACATACTTGTCCTCAAATGAGACACACACACACACATACACATACTTAGGAAGAGAAAAAAGAGCAGTTTTCCTAGTGATGTCAGTTACAGTTGAGTAGGGGACAATTTCATGGATGCAGCTAGTCTCTGAAGAGAACTGCTCAATAAAAGCACTGTAATCCCTGTAAGCTTCCAGGGAATGGTAGAAACAAATCCACAAGAAAACACTGAATAGATTTTTTTGTATTTCTACCCTGCATTCCCAGCTCCTAATAACGCCCTACAAAACCCATCCTACTTTGGGAATCCATGGCTGCAAAAACACCTCTCCTCCCATCCTTTCCATTTCAAATATCATTTTGTATTGAAGTCATTTTAATAATTTTACATTTCTTACTATCCTCTTCTTTTTATTATTATTATTTTTTTTATTAAATGATAGCTCTATACATTAATGCAAACAGGGGGTACAGTGTAGTGTTTTCATATACATTTTGAAATACTTTCATCAAGCTGGTTCACATAGATTTCATGTCATTTGCATAGTCATTGTGTCAAAACATTTACATTCTATTTCTAGAAAAGTTCACTTGTACCCTTGTTAGACAGAAATATAGGTGATCTTTCTGGTTAACCTCCCACCACCCAGCCACCCTTCTTTATATGTGTCTCCCCCTTTTTAATTTCAATAGTGCTTAGTGAGCAGATACCACGTTCTGGGCCACGAAAATGTTAATAGCTATCAAGTAGGAAACACAGCCTTTGGGTGGGGAAGCTGTGGCCTTCTGATTTCAAGATTGTTCTTTGCTAAGTACCAAAGGAGGCAAGAAAAACGTCATCTTTCTGTGCTTTACCCCTCTTAATAAAAGAATTTGTTCTGTAAAATGTAGAAAAGTCTACACTGAAGGACCTAGAAGGACATACATGGGCTTTGCAGCTTCCCCACCCAAAACAGGTGCCCAGGAGCTCATAACCCAGGTGTGGGGTTGGAAGGGCCCCTTGGGGCAGGGATAATATGAATGATTCTATCATTCATATACTTGTGCATAATGTATGATGTGTGCTATTCGGGCTACAGGGTGTGGTAGGAGGGAAAGGAAGCATGAAGGTGAGCTCCCACAGAAAGACCAGCATGTGTGGAAGCCCAGGGGGAGAGAATGAACTTTCTAAGAACAAAGGAATATCATCATGCCTGTAGGTAGACTGGTGAGTGAGGATCAGTTCCTGCAGAGCCTTGATGGCTTATGAAGGAGTCTGGGCATTAACTTAAGGGTGACATATAACCAGTAAAATATAATCAGTGGGAAGAAATAGAGGGGAAGGGGTTAGGTTCCAAATAAAATTGGACCCAGGAAGCCTAATGAGGAGCCTGCTGAAGTTGTCCAGGTGAGAGGCAATGGGTTGAAAAGCAGAGCGGGGCAGGGTGGATAGGCAGAATGAGCAGGTGTGTGCCATTGTGGACAGCAGGGGAAGGAAAAAGGGGTCGAGGCAACCACAAGGCTGGTGATGCCACTGACAAAAAAGAAATCAGGGGAGGGCTCAGGTTTTGGTTTTGGACAGAGATAGATGAAGTGTCCTCCACATGGAAATATTCAACGAGTAATTAGGCATCCAGTGTGAAAGCCAAGAAAGAGGCAGACCTGTTCAGTTTGGGGTTCCTCACCCAACAAGCCACAAGTGAGCCAGGGAAGTGGATGAGATCATCCAATAAACATATATAGAGGGAGAGAGACTGAGAACAGAACTCTGAGGAAACCAGCACAAAGGATCTGCCGATGGCTAAAATAGGGGACCAAAAATTAGAGGAACATTTCTGAAAACCCATTGCCCAATGTAAAAGCTTTTCTGGTCTCTATGTGTGGTCCCTGGTTTTGCCCATGGCTGCAGTGGATCTCAGCGCCTATCCAACTTCACAGAAGGGTCTGGGCGAGGGGGCTGGGGAGCGGGGGAGAGGAAGTCCTCTCATGGGACATGACAGAGGACAGCCTCCAAACGTCCACTGCAAACAAGGGTCCTCTTTTGCTTCCTCCTCTCTTTTGTCCTGATCTTTCCTTGGTCCCTCGAATCATCTATCTTTTCTTCATTAGGCCTGGACGTCAGACTGAAGCTCACTTTTACCCCACAGAGGACTTTTAAAGAGCTTTGTCACCCACAGTTTCCTTTACCATAGAATTCTCGTCGCGGCTGCTAACAAGTCGTGGTTTTCTTCCTGTCACCACAGCACTCACTTTCAGGCCACTGTGTGCCAAGTTTTCTGCTGGGCACAGACAGGAAAGGTTGGAAAGTTTTACTTAAAACCCTCACTCCAAGGTGGTTTCCATTCTGACTGTGGACCACACAATGCTCAGGAACCAAAAAGAAAAAGATTCTATGAAGCTGTATAAGCAAGAGTGGGATTGAAAGTTACGAACCCTGTGTGTGTAAGGGTTGGAGGGCCATAAAGCCAGGGAGTGGCCTTAAAAAAATTCTGCAACCAAATCTCCTCCCTTGACCCTCAGCAGTTCTTCTGCCCGCTCTGCAATTTCTATAGGATAATCTATAAGGAGACTTCATCTTTGAAGGGGAAACAGCCTTGTTTATAGTGTCATTGTCAGAACTGATAATCAGAAGGACCTGCTGTGTTTCCTTGGCAGGTTCCGGAGCCTGACCACTGCATTTTTCAGAGACGCCATGGGCTTCCTATTAATGTTTGACCTCACCAGTCAACAGAGCTTCTTAAATGTCAGGAACTGGATGAGTAAGTAGGACTCAGGAACGTGCGTGACTGCGCTGACCTCACAAGATAAAACCAGCCTGGATACCACAGATTCATGTTGGAAAGTCATGAGTTTAGTGTGTACCTTGTCAACTTCAAAGTGGTGGCCTTTGTGTGAATCATCCGAGGGAGGTGGTTTGGGTTTGTATTTTACTTTGATTCGCTTACAGGAAGCCCATGTGGCTTGATCACTACCCGTATATAAGGTCTTTAGTAATGTCGTTGAAAGACCATTATTCCACTTTTCCTAGAAGTCTTGAAGGACTTCTTAAAAGTGAGTAAGCCACCACATCTGCTATGTCTAACCTGATGAGGGTACAGGGAAAATTGGGAGTGTTTTCTGAGAGGGAGCACTGACACCCAAGATGTGTTCTGTAACTAGTGGGTTCATCCAGTGAAAAGCTCCTCCAGAGCAGACCAGCCATGAGAGGACAAGGTAAGGCACAGGGTGTCGGTCAGCTCACACTGAAATGTGATTGTTAAAAAAAAAAAAGGTCAAATGTGAAGACGACTTATACAGAAAAGTCTCCAGCCGCCGTGGAAACTTAGATACAATACAAAATTTAAATGTTGCCTAATCAATTATTAAGATCAGGTTGATATATATCAGTGCAGGAGAGAAATATTAGAATTATCTCAGATTTTCTAAATTGATGGGACTGTGTTGCTTTTGTCCTTTCCAGATTTGTCAGGGCCATCTACAGCCAGAGTGATACTTTTTAAAAAAACTACATCATGTTATTCCCCTGCTCAAAGTCTGTAATGTCCCCTCTCACCTAGAATAAAACCCAGCGTCCTTCACCTCTACCTTCAAGGTCACTGCCATCAGTCCCAGGGCTTCTGCTCTTATTTGCTTACTCCTCCCCCAGCGCACTAGCTTCCAGCCAAACTGGCTCTTGGGCTACTCCCAGGACCAAAAGCACAGTCCTGCCTTGGGTCCTTGGTACCACGGATTCCCTCTGTCATGATTTCTCTTCTCCATTTACTGGTTTTTTCATTCCCTTCGAATATTTACTCAACCCTTATTTATCTCTTGGCTTCCCTGACCGCCCACCCCCTCTAAGATAGTATTCTTCATCACTCACTATCTCCTTGACACATTTTATTGTTCCTTCAGTGACAGCCATCATCTGACATTATATTCTCTATTTTTTTATTCACTCATGTTTTATGC